TCATGGTATTCAATGAATAATATGTTCCCTATAACCATTGATTCAACATTAGCCTATGACCAGGCTAATGTTTTGCAATAACTGCAATAATGAAATACCTGCTATTGACAAACCAACCACCGGGGATGGCAAGCCACTCCCACAACCGCGTGTGACGTCACATCATCACGTATCGCATAACATAACAGAACTAACTGGTGACTTTATGCAGCCGGAAGTTGCTTGTTAAAAGGGCCACAGACCCAGGAGGTAGAGTGCAGGTGATAAGTACAACCAGGTACTGAGATAAAACATTATCCCGTCATATGCCTCACAAAGTTATTTGCAAAAACCACAAAAATTGCGGTATCACCACCTACCAGGCTATTGAGCCACTAAATCACTATTAGGGACATTTCCTTCACTGCAACCTGTTTTACCAGCCTGAAATACCACATTTGTGCAAAACACAGGCACTCAGGAATGTAAGAGCTCATGCTGTGACAGATCTAATTCAGCTTATCTTATATTAAAATATTTGTAAGTTGTGAGGCATTGCTATGATATGGAAAAGTAATGGGATAATGTTGAATTTTCCATGAAACCCTTGAAAGGAAAACCCCACAGATACTTGATACTCTGGCTCAATTTTTGGAAAAAATCTGTCAATCTTGATGTCCTGTCATTTTTTTTGTTCATTCTGGCCTATTTATGCTAAATATTTGCTTCTTTTTAGTAGAGCTCTAACGTATGGGTAGTTATATCATAAGTATTAACCTGTGCTTAAATTATCTACAATAACATGAAACTTGAGCTGCTCAGTGGCTCACAGCAGAGGAAGTTTGTAAAACTAGGCCACTCCCTGCTGTGAGTGTTTTGGTGTTTGAATTTGTAAAACCCTGTTTACCACTACAAGTATTCCCTGTGGGCATTACTGAAAATAGTTGCATAGTCCATTACATTATCTGTGATTTTCCATGCACACGCTGTAGATATAATGATGATGAAATACCTATTGACAAGCCTACAGCAGAGCATGTCAAGTCACCACCACATCCGCATGTGGCATCACATCATCACGTATTGCTCAGTATTTGTTTTTTAAGATGAGAAAGCATCCTGGAGCGGCTAAGCTGAAGAGATGTGACACAGCAGAAGAGACGTGACACAGCAGAAGTGATGTCTAAACACAGCGCTAGTCAGTATCCCTCAATCCAATATTACAGTACCACACAAAAAGGTCACGTAGCTGACTGTGAATTATTCCAATTCACCACAGCTGTGGCGTGTGCATCCCGTGACTTGCTAATGTTTCGCTTTAACAAATAACCCTGTTAACTGGTCACAGACCCAGGAGGCAGGAGGAGGGAGAGTGATAACTACAGACACTGAGATGAAAGATGACCCTGTTGTACAGCTTACAAAGTAATTTGCAAAAACAACAAAAAATTTGGTACTACCGCATACCGCGCTGTGAAGCCACTCTAAATCACCATAAGGGACGTTCCTTCACTGCAATACTTCCAACAGACAGAACAGGCTTGTGTTCCCTTAAGGGGATTGCTACAAACATGACATGTAACATCCCTTATGTACATACAAAGTGTTGCTGAATTCAAATTGTTAACAGGGGAATATCTTAATTCTTTGCAATTCTTTACTCACATTTGAAATGAAGCAAGGTGATAGCCAGCTAATATGAATTCTCTTACTTGCAGAATTTGTATGTAAAATACTCATATGGGTATTGTTTCTGTATAAGGCCTGTCACTGTAGTCTCTTCTATTCACCTCGGAAGGAACCAATGAGCTTACTGGAGGTGTGCAGACATCCTTTTGTGTAATCTGGTGTCTCAGTGTCACTTTTAGACACAGCTTCTTAATTATGTAACAGAGCCTATAGGAGGTTGAGGTGTTGTGAATATTAATGAGCCAATTTATGGTGCTAATTTAGCATTCATTTTGAAGTCTACACTAGATATAATTATCCTTTATTCTAAGAAGACATTTTGCTTTGGATAATCTCAGAAGTAGCTGTGGAATTTATATCCTGCCTGTCACATACGCCTTTAGGGGAAATCACATAAGGTTTCAGTTTACTGTGTTTCAAGCAGTTATCAACGGACATCTTTGTTAACCCACCTGGCTATTAAGCCTCTGTGGAGTTGTGGATGCTGCTTGTTTTCTGATAAAGTGCATTGAAAAGAGAAAAGCACTGATGGGGAAATTAGGTCTCCTTAGACTGTTTCAAATAAAAGGCTTCCTCACTGTCCTTCCTCTGAGCTACAGCTGCATGCAGCTGTATAATCCACAGTCATGCACTTGTTGAGCTTGTGTGCTGAAACACTAATAGTGTTGTCCTCGAGCCACCCAAGCATAAACAGCCCTCCCCCTTCCTCAGATGTGTTGTGTTCCCACAGAGTATTTCTGACTCTAAATGTTTGCATACTGTTAAGACAACCCTGAAATAATAAGTTAAAGTTCAATATAATTTCAGCTTAATGTGTCTTAATTATAAATGATCTATTTACTTGCAATGGTAATGCTTGTTTACTGGCAGCATGTTGGCGAGGCCTGGCCATTACATAACAATGTGCTAATGAGTGAATAATAATTAGCCCTTCCACTATCCTCTTTGTGCAAATGTGAGTAAACTGGACCACACCTGCATCAGCTGTTCACCTGCACGGCAATTCTCTCATTGCTCAGGAAGGCACACACCCTGTGGCTACTGTGCCAGATGGTGCTGCTGTCATTGCACTGTCCAGCCTTGTCCTAAAGAGCTATGCATCCGTGGTGGTTTAACATGTGCCGCGTGGGTGCTTGTATCCAAGCTTCTAACAGCACAATGGGTTAACGTTCTGTGTGAATGTTACCATTCAAATCTAAAATTATAGGTGGCGGTGGACAGCATATTTCCATCTAATAGGGTGTAGCTTAGGCAGATATGAAAAGCATCTTGTTGACATGGCACGACATGTTGATTCCTCTGCTTCTGTCTCTATAAACAAACACAGATGGCAAGATACAGGTCTTAAATGTGTCATTCATAAGGGCATTAAGTCCTTTTGGGGCAAATAATCCAAAGCAGGTAGCATTTATCACACGCCAGCGTCGACTATCAGCGATTTTGCATAACTCTGAAATTCCAAATATGTGTCAAATGAGAAGTGCAATAATTATTTGCAGTGCTGCCCCTGCCAGATTATGTTTCGGCATGATAATAACTATTTACATTATGTCTTATCTCGTATATTGTCTACCCCTATGAAATAGTTAAGCCTGCATGGGAGCATGTGGCATTATCTGGTTCATATTTCTGTTTGTGTGTTATTGTTAATGCACCATGTCGTCAGTTGATACACCGCCATCTGGAAATTGACTTCTCAAGTCCCTCTGCTGCTGTAGTGTACAGTAAATATAGCTGGGGAAAGACTTCTCACTATGGGATTCACGCTGCTGTCTCTTTGAAGTCTATCTTCTTTTGTTAACTATTTATGCATAGGTTGCAGTTGTCCTGTCACCTCACTGTGTAGCCTTGTGAAGCTTCACAGCAGCTCAGGGTGAGGATATTTGTGGACCCATATCAGCTCAAGTCAAACAGCTTCTTTCATTCGTCAAGCAGTAAGAGTCTGGTAATAATGTGTCTTGGGTGATCCAATCACACGTGGAAAGTACGTCAGTTTACACCTGGCTTTAGAATGCGTCTCGAGTGACGACTTGTGATCGGATCTCTCTTTCCTGCTGTATGTGCAAAAAAACACATCATTTGCAAAGACCATTATGCTGGGACACAATGGACAGCGTTTTAGAAAGAAATAACCTAATGTGTGACATTTGCCTAATTTATAAGTAGGCCCAATTAAATAAGACTTTGTCAAAGACAAGAGAGCCAAACAGAGTCTGGGACTGGTCACAAAGACGTTGAATATTGGTTACTGTTCAGTGTAACTGTAAACATTTTCCATCTTTACCATCTTGTAAAGTTTCTCCTCACTCAGCAACTCTCAGAATATGCAATTAATGTTTTAAAAAACTCTGAGGATATTGCAGTTAGTAGTTCAGCGGGGAAGACAAACCATGTTTTTACAAACATCTGCTGTTTATCTTGGCAGGTGAGAGAGCCCAAACATGTGATTTGCATTACAGTGAACCAAATGGAAATTAGACTGCATGTTTTGTGTGCGCTTGAAGGATGTCAGTTGAGTAGGCAGTCCTTCAAAGTGGCCCAAGACACATTTGTGTACACATTGCTAAAAGACCTACGTACCTGTACTTAGAACTGTCCACTTGTGATCAGATCACCCAGGATACATGTTAATGCCAGGTGTAAACAAGGCCTTACTGCTTGTAAAAGCATTAACATAAACAGTCTCTGGTCTCCGGGCACTCTCCTGCAGAGCTGCTTGTGCCGTGACATGTAAGTCATGTAGCCCTCAAGCAATAGCAGGTAATTGCAACGGGTTATTTCAATTATGCGTAACTCCTCCGAAGTTGGATTAGTACACAAACAAGAAGGCAAATGAAAGTTAATTTCACTGGCATCAATGTTTTGTAAAGTCTCATCGCCTAAATGTCGGCTCATGGGAAATGTATTTAAATTGAGGCCTCGACTGGTTGAACTGTGAGATCTGTCTACGAAAAACGTTTTGCATAATATTTCCATTTTGTCATTCAAGACTGTATTAGCTATCTGTCAAACCAAAAACTAATACAGTACATTTATTCAGTTCTTTCCCCAACCTAAAGCTACCACTTAAATATACCATAAAGTATTTACATTTAACAAATATGAACTCAGAATACTGATTAATATGCTGAAATTGACACTGATGCATACAAACTGTACATACAGTGTGTCACAGCTGATTGCTCTCATATGGTTGAGTCACAAATACTGTTAAGGCCTAAAACGAAACCTGCAATGAATATGAAGATAAATCACTTCCTCATTCTTGTCCCTCTGTTATTGTTCATGCCTTTGCATCTTACGTTTTTTTTCCCCCCCATCTATTTTCCCAGGGTTCCACCTGATTCCTCGGCTGTCCGGCATTGTGCCAGAGAGCTGCCTTTTGATTGTGGTGGGCCTGCTAGTTGGGGGTCTCATCAAACTAGCTGGAGAACAGGTCCCTCCAGTTCTGGACTCCAGATTATTCTTCCTCTGCCTGCTGCCCCCCATCATCCTGGATGCTGGCTACTTTCTGCCCATCCGTCCTTTCATGGAGAACCTGGGCACAATCCTGATGTTTGCTGTTGTGGGGACCTTGTGGAACGCCTTCTTCGTCGGAGGCCTGCTGTATGCTGTGTGTCAGATTCAGCCAGGCAATCCATCCATCCTGCACCAGCTGGAGCTCCTGCCTTGCCTGCTGTTTGGCTCCATCATCTCAGCTGTGGACCCTGTCGCTGTGCTCGCTGTGTTTGAGGAGATCCATATCAACGAACTGTTGCACATCCTGGTGTTCGGTGAATCATTGCTCAACGATGCTGTCACTGTGGTGAGCCTTTCACACTTCAATTTGTTATGAGAAAATGCATTTGTTTCCTCTGTGGGTCTAATAAGTTGATTGTTAGATTACATGCATTTCCCTGTCAAGAAGACATATGATATGCTGAGGCGTGAGCCCTTGGTTGTAGCCCGTAGTAGCATTCTTGTAGCAAGTTGTAACTCTAATGTCCAGTTAAACCTCAACGTTGTCGCTATATGTAGAGCATCAAGACACAAATGAAAACTTTGGTGTTTAGCTCAGCAGTCAGTAGCAGTTGTCATCAGATCAGGTGGTCGATTGAATTGAATTGAATTCTGTTCTAACCTCAAATAGACTTAAGCTGTCAACACACAGCAAGTGATCCAGTGACTAGCCACCACACAATAATCTTCAATTCACAGTACACCAGCTGTTAGCTGGCCTGCTCCCAAACAGCACCATCTACCGTATCCAGTTACCAATAATGCTAGTATCAACACTATCCGAGGCACCAACTTTAGTCTCAGGGAATACTGTGCTAAATATGTCCATAAGTCTTCCTCAGTATATTCCCAAATACTCTGCACGCTCATTCAACAAAGCCACTGTCTTCAGGTCATATGTTCAACTACAAGTTTTGCTTCATGCACACTTAAACAACCTAGACGGCACTGTGCCATCAGTGAGCACAGGCTCTGGTGAGAGCCAGAGGAGCTCATCAGCCTGGGAGCACTTGGCAGTAAATGTGCTTGATTAGGCTGTCTGGCATTACAGGAGTCTGCATATCCCCATAGTGACATACTTAACAAATGCTTGGTACAGAACTTTAAGAATCTTTTTATCCATTTAGCAAAAGCCAAATTGTGTAGTTGTCTTTTCCCTTTGCCCAGTTACAGGCTGTGCTCAGTCTTAACATATGCAAAAAACATGTTCAGTTAAGTTTGGGTTGAGTCCAGTGTAGAACCTGAAAACTTAAATTTGCTGGCTAAGTAGTGTTTTAAACAACAAATCTATCTATCTTTTACTACAGAACCTACTCTTAAATAAAGTTGTGGTAACACAAAACAGTGGAAAATAAAAACTAATATGACTACAGATGGCTATTGAAGATTTTATTGATACCAATGGCACTGTCGATTCTCCAGTCCGATTCTTTATCAATGTGGGGGGAAAAAATGCCGCAGTTTTATTATCTCTTGTCTTGAACAAAGTGTAGAAACAGAGTAGAAAGAAGCATTCATGTGACTCAGGTGTGCAAAAACTCTGTTTAACCTGTTGAACTTTTTAACTGCTGCTTCATTTGGAACCGGTTCTAAAGTAGTACTGTGGGGCACCAATGTTGTTATAACATAGGATATTTATGCTCAGTGACAGACGTGCAGCTCGGTTGGGAAGCAGTGACTTGTTGTGCGTGGAGTGTTAAATACATGACATTCCTGGAAATTAATCCCATTTCCTGTAGAAATATGTATTCTTATATGTCATCTTCCTACATGAAATGAGGCCACTCTTTCGACTGTTTCTTCCTCTTCGCCATGACTCCTTGTTGTTGCAAATTCCCAGCAGCGTAGAAACACAAGTCTGACATAATTGTTTTGCAATGAGAAACTTCTACATTTGACTTGACTTCCTGATGATGTCACATGCTTTGGGACCTTTGGTTGTGGTTTTGTGATCTGTGACATTTACCCTGTTTTTAATTTTTTGTGCAACATGTAACCATTTTAGATGCCAAATCTGCTTCACTCTTCACTCTTTCCCTCCCCTTTGTCTCTCCCCCTCCTCCCTCTCCTAGGTGTTATACCACCTGTTTGAGGAGTATGCAGGTGTTGGCTCAGTGACGGTGATGGATGTTTTCCTGGGAATCATCTCCTTTCTGGTGGTTGCAGTGGGTGGCGTGCTAGTGGGAGCCATCTACGGGATCCTGGCCGCCTTCACCTCACGCTTCACCTCCCACACCCGTGTCATCGAACCACTTTTTGTCTTTGTGTACAGCTACATGGCCTACCTGTCAGCTGAGATGTTCCACCTCTCTGGCATCATGTCGTAAGTTTGGGGGGGTGGTTATATAGACTAAACATTAGCGTGTTAAAGATTTCTATTCTTCAGATTCAGTGGAAATGCATACAGGAATGCACAAAAGGGACTTCATCAATTGAATGGCCGGTAAAACTGACCACTACCTAGCCATTTGGCTGATGCACAAATAAATTAATTTTGCACCCTTCTGCTAAACATCAGCATGTTAACATTGTCATTGTGAGCATGTTAGTATGCAGATGTTGGTATTTAGCACATAGCACAGCCTCACAGAGCTGCTAATGTGGCTGTAGACTGAGGGGCGAATTCACACTGAACTGTACTTATTTTACAGCTGCTAAACCTGCATAAATAACACAAAAAGAAAACTAAAACGTATTTTAGTTGAGTAGTATGTCAATTTGGTGCAAAATTGGCCCCTTTCTACTCAAATGAGCCTCATTGTAAAAATAGTCCAATTCACAAACACCAGCACTAATAGCCACACGCAGTAAGCTGAAAATTATCATCACAGTGGGCTACATCATATGCGCACAGATGCACACACTGGTTACTCACTCGAGAGAAAACAAATCTCCATGTGCCTAGAGGCGTGAGGGAGAGCACAGAGTCAAAAATCACTCTGAGAAAACACTCCAAGAGTAAGTCTGAAAAACAAATGAAAGAGTAGAGGGAATTAATACATCATTAGAATAGTTATAATTCTAATAAGAATAAGTTCTCTTTCAAATCAGATATTTTAAGATATGAGTGGAGTTTTGTTTTTGCAACAGCATTTCTAACATGTTTTACTGATGTACTGATGATACTTCAGTACAGTCTAAGAACAAATTTAACTGGGTCTACTACTGCTCCACATTTATGAGATGCAAAATAAGAGCAAATTGGATTCAGGAGCAAAAGGTTATGGGCGTGTTTGCTCTGTAATATTATTAGCGCAATATCTTTTGTGAATCTGACCTTGGGCAGATAGCTGTTGCAAGTGATGTGCAATTCAAGGTGCTTTCAGAGGCCACAATCCATTCTTTTTGAATTTACCCTGAATCACCTATTTTGGAAACATTGACCTGTTGGTTAAAAGTTAGCTTATTTACTATAAATCACATAAAAAACTTCTGCTTTCCAAAACATGCTTTAGAGTTTTAAATTGTGTTTTTTTTTTTTTTTTTTTTTTTTTACTGGGGTGGAGAGTATTACACCATTTAAATAACCGCATGTCTGCAAGTGCAGATTAATTTGAAAACTCAGCAAAGCATTACTGTGCGTATCTTTCGAGGGAAATAGAGATAGAGTTTTCACTGTTATGGACTATATCAAGAAAGTGCCACTTTGTAAGTTGGTTTTCATAGCTGTGTGAACATAAATAAAAAAGCAATGGCTGTGTGAAAGATAAGGAATAACACATTGAAAACTGAATCACCTATTTTTTTTAAACATTTAAAACAAACATTCCCATTTCCTGATTTTCTATAAAAATGGTGAATCATGTCAGAACAATGACCATATATCTAGAATCCCTAAGACTGGTCCACCCTGTTAGTGACTTCATACAAGTTCAGCATTTACAAATTGAGTATCTAGTGTTTTATGTCTGCTCTCTGACTGTAAAATTCTCCTGCTTTCTCAGGGACATCCCTCTTGTCTTACATATTTTTATTACATGGATTTTCAACAACTTTTTCACTGCAGGGAAAATCTATTTCTGTTATTCCCCTATGACAGTAACTCAACTGCAGCTTACAACCTGTATAACCAGTGGTATAATGAATTACACTGATCTAACAGCACCTAAAACATGCCAGAATTTACTGGCATCCCAGCATTCCCTGAGGTGTCGTTTCTCATCAGCTCCTCCAGTATGTATCCATCCCTTTTCTGTTTAAGATGCTAGGAGTTATTGATATTGCAGACAAGAGGTGATGATATACTGAGTCTCCCCGCTGAGTCACTGCCAAGGGATGTGTAGCTTCAAGGACAATCTCTTCCAAAGCCTGTGGCTATCTTGCACCTCACATCAAAAACTGGATTTCTCAAGTTTTTTTAATATCATCTGTTTATAAAGAAGAAATGAAACAGCTTACTGATGTGAATTCCTTTTACTGTTTGCCTAAAGCCTTGAGAGCCAGACCAATATTGACATGGAAGAGGAATAGTGGGGGGTGAATGTTGAGCAGCTGCTGCGGCTTATAGGACATGGATGGCGTTCATTTCTGGCCTCCACATTTTTGACATGGAAACATTGCATGACATGGAACAGAGAAGTGGTCACCAGACAGGGATTGAGATGTCTTTTTTGGTGTCACGTTCCATAATACGTGTTAAACTGGGTAACTACAGTGTTCCTGTAATGGAAAACTCTATCACTGTTGCTGACGACTTATGTCAAACCACCACTTCTTCTTAAGTAGCTTTTCCCTCTAACTTGTATGAATTAATCTTACTTAGCTTCCTTCCTTTTGGATGACAAATACATTTGCAAACAAGGAATCTATGAAAATGTGTTACCTGTCAACTAAGCAAATGTTTGACTCCTGTCTTTCCAGGTTAATAGCATGTGGAGCGGTGATGCGACCCTATGTGGAGGCCAATATATCCCACAAGTCCCACACCACCATCAAGTACTTCCTGAAAATGTGGAGCAGCGTGAGTGAGACACTAATCTTCATCTTTCTGGGCGTGGCGACAGTGGAAGGACCTCACAACTGGAACTGGACCTTCGTCACAGTCACTGTCATTCTTTGTCTGGTGGCCCGGGTCATAGGTCAGGTCTACTTCAGTATTTTCTCAGAACTTCTTCAAATAAATGTAGTTTATGCCCTGCTGTGGTGTGTAGCAATACTGCATAAAGGGGACACTACTGTTGACATGCATCTGTTTTAGGGTTAATTCATGCAAGATCTCTTTGCAAATTAGAAAGAACAAAAGTAAAGTTTTAGTATTTAATTTCAAAAGAGATAAATGTCTTCCACTTTGATGTGAACTGTAATTTACACAAAAAGGATTTCTATTTGTGTAGAAAGACCTTGTTCTGAAAAAGGGAACTGGAAACACTGAGAGTAAGAAATGCAGCATCGTGTTTCATCACACCGCTGTCTGTGTGTAGGAAGCGCCGCCAAGTAATCCATGTTGACTTCTGTTGAAATAATGATGACCCATACCATACTGAGCTCTTGTCTTTTTTTTGACATTTTTGGCCTTTGGAGCCAATGAGCCTTTTAGCAAACTTTCCATAAACAAATATGCTTCCTGTGGCGGAGTTGTCGCTAACAATAATCACACTATTACTTGCATCACATGACACAAGATCTTCTAATGGAAACATTGACCTGTTGGTTAAAAGTTAGCTTATTTACTATAAATCACATAAAAAACTTCTGCTTTCCAAAACATGCTTTAGAGTTTTAAATTGTGTTTTTTTTTGTTTTTTTTTTACTGGGGTGGAGAGTATTACTCCATTTAAATAACCGCATGTCTGCAAGTGCAGATTAATTTGAAAACTCAGCAAAGCATTACTGTGCATATCTTTCGAGGGAAATAGAGATAGAGTTTTCACTGTTATGGACTATATCAAGAAAGTGCCACTTTGTAAGTTGGTTTTCATAGCTGTGTGAACATAAATAAAAAAGCAATGGCTGTGTGAAAGATAAGGAATAACACATTGAAAAATCCTAAACATCATGGTCCAGAAAGTATATTTTACTTTTATAGACTTTCTTATTATTGTGTTTTTTTGTCATTTTTTGTGTTTATTGTTTATATAGGGAAGTAGGAGCACCATTACAGTCACAAGCTGACACAAGGCAAACAAGGGTTGTACAACAGTTTCTCTACCCCAAGTTTTTATGTTAATGTTTGCAGCACATCCGCTCTGCGAACAGTTCATATACGTTGCATGTTCAGTGTTGCTAAAGTGTAAGTCACAAACAAATCCAACCTCGGTTTCTCATAACATTGTCCTTCACAGGTGTGGTCGGTCTGACCTACGTCATCAACAAGTTCCGCATCGTCAAACTGACCACCAAGGACCAGTTCATTGTGGCCTACGGTGGCCTGCGAGGTGCCATCGCCTTCTCCCTTGGCTTCCTCTTGAATAAGGATCACTTTCCCTTGAGAGACATGTTCCTTACTGCCATCATCACTGTTATCTTCTTCACTGTCTTTGTTCAGGTACGAGTGCCCATTTTATCCTGTTTGGTCTAAACAGTTCAGCCTGATTTACTGTAAATGACAAGGTTTCTCTGTAGCCTTCTGCAAGCCTTATTATGGGATGTCATTATGACCATTATCAGTGCACGACTTCAGTGTTTGTTTTCAAGATTCAGATTCCTGCTACTAGTGAACACATTGTAGATAGACATTGTTCACTATTCCAAGTAAGACATTGCGTGGATTTTACTCACATGTTCTGTATGTTACCCATTTGCATCAGTCATCACCAACCATATTGGTTTGGAGAAAAAAAGCAGTATAAAGTAATATATTTGATTAATAAGTTAACTGTTCAACAAAACCAAGCTATCTCAGAGCAAATGTTTTATTTGCAACAATTTAGTTCAACATTGTGAATCTTGATCCTACCGGTCATGCTAAGGGTTGAACATCAAAGTAACACTCGTGTATTTGCAGGAGAAAAAACGCTTGTGTGATGTCACGTAAGTTCTTCAACCTAAGTGGTCTGATTTTCTTGGTATTTTTGGTCTTAAAGTAAACTTCCCAAGCCGGTTTAGGAAGATTTCAGCTTTGAAGTATAGACAGACAGGGGAACTAACTCCTTCATCAATGTGAAACATAAAATATGGTTTATGTCATGACACGGTCTTACTGAGTGAACCTCAAGATCCAATCCAATCCAATCCAACTTTATTTGTTAAGCACATTAAAAACAACCAAAGTTGACCAAAGTGCTGTACAGGAGAATAAATAAGACATCATAAATATGAACAGTGATGGTGATGATGAAGACCACTGTGAGGAACATAGACAGTGAGGCGACAACACTGGAAAGCCATGATTTTTAACATACAAAAACAGTACGTGAAGATAAGATAAAGACAAACAGGAAGTTATTGCATACATATTATGTGTTGTCCATTTTAAGCACCGTGAGCTGCATCAGCCCTGTCTTGATAAACCAGTCTCCTAGTGAAACTGTAGGAGGATTCTTGGATGTGAATTGGTCCCAGAATGGAAGCAGCTAAAATAAAACCCTGAAGATATGTTCTCTCCTCCTCAGAGGCTAGATTATAAACATGTTTTATTCATGCTGCTGGATTTAGCACAGGTAGTCTGATGCTGACACAGATGCAGATCAGAAGGGAGAGGTTAGATGCCCCTTTCAACTGTGATGTGGTGTGTGAGCAAGAGTGCGTCTGAGTGTGTGTTTTAATGGATGGCACTTCCTTTCTTGTGTTGGCTTAATTCTGTTATGATAGTCCACATTAATTACAGTATGGCCAGACCAGTTAAGATTTTGGATTTCTGGACATCTCATTGTTGATTGTTGGTATTGTTAGTATAATTTTGTGGAATTAAGACAATCTATTCATTAAAAATTGCCTTCTGAGTAATGTTAGGTTGGTAAGATATTCATAATGGAATTGTACTTATCATCCACCCTAGAAGAGGGAATATTTTATATTTGCATCTGTAGCAGACTGTATTTTCCCCACAGTAAACTAAGGCTAGAACTATGGATAATTCTGTGGTTTTCCATGTAAATTATCTTGGATGCAAGTGACCAAACTAAAGGGAATTATATCATTTATTGCTCCATTTTAACATTTCTTTTCAATTGCACTAATTGACCTGAAGTGGGACTTAAACACCCTGCATCACCATGAAATCTTTCCCCTTGTTTTGGGTGAAGGAATACATTTAGTCATTGAATATCCTTGTCGTGTTTTGTGCGGTTGAATTGAAAAAAGTATGATGTGATGTGAAAAGTGTAGGTTCCTTTGCATGCGGGCCTGGTAACAGGACTGGGTATGATTAAAGAGCAAGAATCATCCGTCATCCACTTTGGGCTATTACAGTTAACCAGATGGCTACCTTAATCTCTTTAAGCAGCAGAACGATACGCTTGAGCTTTTAGGTGCAGACAGGCACAAGCACACACACACACACACACACACACACACACACACACACACACACACACACACACACACACACACACACACACACACACACACACACACGACTGAGTATAATCCAACAGTAGCCAAACATCAGACTGATGTTTGATTTTGCATTCCTGGAGCCGTTTTGTTATTGCTGTGTGTTTTTCTTAATCTTATAATTGACCAGTATGAGTCTGAGACACATTTTCATCTCTTATATAAAAGTAAAAATCTTTTTTAAAAGAGTTGAGTCCCAGAGTTGTTTGCTTAACAACATGAGACAAGTGTCTGGAAACCATTCAATTCCTGCTTTACAACCATATACACAGGAACAAACACAATATGTACACATAATTTAGTAGTTGACGTATGCACTTATCAGTTGTGTTTATGATCACATTTCTCTGAAGAATATAATCAGTGATCCACATTAAAAACCCCGAACCAACATCATTCTCTGTGTGGACAGTTTTAGTAGTTCAGGATTTCTCTTAAGCTGAACTTGTATACTTCAAAGAATGTCTGTCCCGGGACCAGTGGAGACACAAAACGATAGTGCTTTGTATTGTTGATAATGGATAGGATGTGTTCATTTCACTTGGGGCGTGTTTTGCAGATTTGTCATGTTGATTCTTTTTAAAAACTGAAATCTGTAACTTTCCACATATTGTCACCCTCTACAGCAGGTGAGAGATTTACAGCAACAATGACAGGGTTTTTATGAAAGGTTGTGTGAAGACCTGCTGTGTTTGTTGATCAGAATTTGGACACTGTGCCAAATAGTGAAGTGGGATGCTACTTCAGTGAATGATAACAAGCACTGTGGCTCTGTTTGGCATTGTAAAACAAGACAGGTGTGACAGATGTCAGTGTCAGATCAAGGAGAGTGCTGATGTTCTACTACAATACTCTGACACACTGAAAGATTGTAAAACACTACAGATACCAGCTTTAAAGTACTTTAAATCCACATGCAACCTTCTCATTTCACTCCTGCATAGCGTGAGATTTCTTTATTTGTCTTAAGCTAAGGTGAATGAATAAGATTTTGTTCCTCTCACCTCTTTTGCAGGGCATGACCATCAAACCGCTGGTGGAGCTGCTGGCAGTGAAGAAGAAACAGGAGGCTAAGCGCTCGATTAATGAAGAAATCCACACCCAGGTACAACTTTTCCCTTTAAACCATCCTCAGTCTGAATGGTTAGAAACTGATGATTTCTTATTGGTTTATACATATTAATGACTCAGAGTCTTTTGGTGTGCAGCTGATAAATGAAATGTCAAATTCAAATCAAACAGGACATCTTTGTATAAATGTATGTTATACACAATACTCATTCATTATACATAATAGAAAACACTTATAAGTCCATCAGCTTCCTCTTTTACCAAGCTACCTTGTTGAGCCATAGCAATGCAATCTCACTTCTGTCATGTGTTTGGTTTAATTATTCACATAGACAGAAGCAGAAATACAAATATTACTAATAATGTGCATTGATAAATTCACAGCAGTTGCACAAATAATTGATACAGATTTTCCTGATGGTATTACAGTCCTTTTGGTTCTAGTTAGGTAAAACGTGACATCCTTTTCCAGTTACAAGCACTGAGGCCATTTAGTTCATCAAATTTTGATCACTGCTTCCACCTACTGGCTGTGTGGTGGTACTTCATCTTAAATATTGCACTGTGCAGTGTAGAAGTATAGCACAGTGAATGTCAATCCAAAGATTAGAAAAAAACTCTCACACACACACACACTTTGTCTTGTATCCACAGTTTCCGGTACTCAAACACACCCAGGGCTGACCATGGGCCACAATCCCAGGGTGTTTTAAAGCTTTAAATACAGCTTAGATAAGCACATACACACACACACGACAGCCCTCTCTGGGGCTTTGTGTTAAGTCACCAGTGCTTGAGGCTAGAAGATCAGGCTGCCCTAATGGCTTCTCCCTCACTTTAAAACACCAGTGATTAGAGTCAGCAGAGCTGGTTGAAGGTACCATGGCACTGGGCTACAACATAGCGCTGAATAAAACTAGAGTGCTACACAGTCCTCCGATATGGAGGCTGTGAATTTATTTATTTATTTATTTATTTATTTATTTATTTATTTATGTATGTAAGTGGCTAAGTGATGCTGCAGATCCTTTCAGACATAGCACTTTTACTTAATGTGTTTCTAATTGGGTTGGGAATTATATTACAATACTCAATATTAAGAAATGTGCTGACAGAAATGGCACTACCACTACTATATGCAGTGACATTGTGTAACAGTCATGTATGGATCATGATATTTGTGTGACTGAATAGAAAGATATACCCAAAACAATAAAAATAAATTGGCGTTAATTATGAGTTAAGATACAGCAGCATGTATACCTGTGGCCACATTCACATGAGAAATAGACATAATATTAAAGTGGATTGGTTGAACTGGTTGGAAAAGCTCCAGAGGTGAGATGTTTGTAGTAAGAGATGAACATTTAAGACCCAGTATCAGTGTAACCAGAAGAGAATGTATCATAATATGTTGGTGTATTTTCTCGCCCTTAATCTTCCAGCATTGACACTCAAAGTTTTCAATCTGTTGCTACTTTTTAAAAAGAGACTTATTCACCCCCACCCCGGCAATCTTTATATAAATCAGTCTCTTCTGACAAGGCAGAAGTAAATTCTGTGGCTCCGCTTAATGACCTGTTCCCATAGCAACACTGCCTGTCATACTGTCATCTGCAGGCTTAGTCAGAACACCAGGGTGACCTGTGGCCGGCTGCAGTATGAACAACAAGTGCACTGGTACATTTCTCTGGTTCTCTGAGCGGGCGTGCTGCCACTGTTAATAAACACTGTCCAATCAATCACCTGGCTGCTGCTGCTGCTGCTTGCTGGTTTTCTCTCTTGACTTCCATTTTAAAGCTTGTCACCTGCTGTTGTTGATAATGTTTTTGGCAGTCTTACCTGGGAGTGTTTTCACTGTGAGGAATGGTAACTGTGGTACAGCAAAAGGTACAAGATGCAACTGAAGGATGTACATTTCACATTTTGGTATGCTCCATCTACAAACGTAGGAAAAAGGAAGGAAAATGTTTTTGTATGCCTTGCTAATTCTGTTTTACAAAGTATGAAAATAGTCCACAGAGAAGGCGGAGGCCCAGATTGAGAGTCTGATTCAATCTGGAGTTTGTCTTTTTGTCAGTCTCCCTTGATGATTTTCTGACTCTTTTTATCCCCAGTTCCTCGACCACCTACTGACTGGCATTGAGGACATTTGTGGACACTATGGACACCACCACTGGAAGGACAAGTATGGATTTTACAGTTAACTGAAATATAAAATTGTAATCAACAGAGAATAAATGGATGTGAATGTGGAATTGTTAGTCATTAATTCCCTAATTTAACCTTTTTTTTATTCTTCAAGTATGAACCATGTGTCAAACCTCTGTCCGGTTCTTACACTTGTGTCTGTCTTTTGTCCTTGGTCTCTGTTTCTATCTGTCACTCTTTTTCTCCTGCCAGACTTAACCGCTTCAACAAGAAGTATGTGAAGAAGTGCCTGATTGCAGGCGAACGCTCCAAGGAGCCACAGCTCATCGCCTTCTACCACAAGATGGAGATGAAACAGGCCATTGAGCTGGTGGAGAGTGGAGGGGGAGTCAAGCTGCCTTCTGCTATGCCTTCCGCTGTTTCCATGCAGTAAGTACTGAGTATACACTCTGTCTTCAGTTATCAAACTGCCACTTTATTCACCAGTTAGTCACTAACTGTGTCTGTCTGGTGCTGGGCAGGTAGTGTACAGTGGGCTTTTAGAGCTTTTCTGCTAAAAAATAGCTGCCTGCTGCAGCCGAAAACACACCATAACAGCAATGACACTGAACCAAAATGGTAAAATTAGAGGTGGGACAGCTAAACCATGGAAACTGGCTATATAAAGCTCTGTAAAGCCTTGGGAAGCTGCGGATTTGTGTCACAATTCCCTGTAGGTTCATCACTACAAGCGACCCCTTTCATGTTTGAGACACTGTCATTCTTAAAAATGTTGATTGCATTCAAAATTTCACCATGCTATGCACGTTTATTTGCGTTTATTTGGGTTTATTTCACTTCGATGCAGCCATTAAATTATACAAAAGTCCTGACAGATTCTGGAAGTTGACATAAAATGTAGGTCAACACAATGAAACAGACCCCATGAACCACAGTAGTTTCAAGGCTGTCAGTAGAACAGGACAGTTTTATTTTCTTATATTGTTTCACATTAGCTACACTACAGTCACAGTATCTCGTTTTATGTTTGATATGAGGATTTATGATGATGGCTTTAATGACTTTGTGGATTTTGTTTCTTTTTCTTTTTTTATAGTTAAGTAGACTGAAAATCTAATTTTAAGGAAGATTTCACAACATTACAAATTTCATCCAGTAATGTCATGGTGTTTTTGGTATCTCGTGAGATTGAGCTTTGAATGTAAAGAGGCTGGCTGGTGACTGGAAGCTTGCTGGTTCTTTGAGGAGCACTGATGTGTCTGAGCTGTTTTGTAGCTAGTATTACATAAACAGCATCATCATCATCGTCATCATCACCACCAAGTGGCGAGAAGTCTTTGGTTGTCATTGCCCGTTATGCTTGCATGGTGTAACCTTAAACAAATCCTACTGTAAGCAGCTGCACAGGCCTCATTAATTTGACAACTGCAGTATCAAGTAGTCAGTGATTAATTGCTAAATTAAGCCTTAGGCAGCCTTAATATTCAGTGTGAGCGCACAAGTCAATCTTTACTAAATGCAAGTAAAAGCTGAAGACGGTTGAAGACACTTTGACTGATGGGGATCCTCAGTCTTTCTTCACTCTAATGCTCTCGAACCAAGGACAGACAAGAGGAGACCTGTCACCCACTTAACAACACACTGTGCAGTTAACAAGCCACTTACTTTGTTATTATTGAGTGTCCGCTATAGAAAAAAGCTATATTAGCTCTAACGTTTCCTGGTCTCTTTGCTAAAAAATGTTAGCTGTGCACTTACAAGAGCTGTTACCCACAGTCCTCAAACACAAACATTCTCTCAGTCAGCTGATCATTCGATACCAGCAGGAAATAATTAAGGGAAATTGTCTTTCGATGGTTTGATAATTATCCCAACCGTTTGTCATGTGTTTTGGCGAAAGCACATACAGACATTTGATGTGTACACATGTCTGTTATTTGTTTCCCCTGCTCTGTAGTACACAAACTCAGATAGTCTTTTTCCTGCTTATTTCTCAGGAACATCCAGCCCAAGAAGCTTCCTCCTGCCAAGCCCGCAGAGAGAGCTCTGTCCAATCTGCCCAAAGGCCGAGAGGAGGAGATCAGAAAGATCCTCAGGAGTAACCTTCAGAGGACACGACAGAGGGTAATACTGCTATACGAATAATGAGAAGCATTATTACACGTGTATGTCTTATATTAGCTAAAGATGCACTGTCTTGTATAACCAGGAACTTATCATTAGTCATATCCATTTGCACTGATAAACAAAGTAGTTCTGATAAACAAAGTAGTTCCTCTGTGTGTGTATACATATGAATACACTATATATATATATATATACATATATATATATATATATATATATATATATATATATATTTTTTCACAGAGTTAGAATTAAATCAGTGGCTCTGTTTATTTTTCACTTTTAATTGTTAACCATTAGATTATCTTATAATATGTCTTTTGTTTCTCAGCTGCGCTCCTACAACAGACACACTCTGTTGGCTGATCCGTACGAGGATGGTCTTGGTGATCTCCTTATCAAGAAGCAAAAGATGATTGAGCTGGAGAGAAAGGTATGATTGTTGGGGTCACTGAGGGCCAGCACCTCTCAAATCAAGAATGAGTCTGAACCAGCTGCCCTCAGCACCGAATGAGACATTTTATGCAATCTGGTATATAACAAAGTAGAAGTTATATTGCAGTAAACAGCCGGTAATAAATCTGGAGAAACACAGAAAACTCCAACAAACCAACAGATGAAGAGCAGCTCCTCTCATTTCATACCAGGCCACCAGCAGTTAAATGATTCAGCCAAAATTATGATTTGTGTTCTAATTAGTCCACCTTCAGTCTCCTAAATTAATTTTTCTTGACACAAACGGGGGCCTGATCTATTCGCACGGTTGAGTGGCACTACCACAAACTTCCATTTCATCAGCCTGTAATTACATAATCAAAATAGACTTGTTTTGTGGGAATCGAATGTGCTAGGAGCCACTGTTGACTAAAGAGGATTTCTGCAGGGAACAAAGCAACACATCATTTTAATGAAGTTTCTCTAATATACAGATCAACAGTGAATTACTGACTTATTTTAGTTTGGCTGCAATCCTTTTTTAAATAATTAAATGAGGCAGAGTGTGTGTTTCTTTTCACTTTTCAAGTTATATAACTATTACAGTTTGATTACATGCAGAAGGCTTAATCATCCCATAAACAAACAATATCCCTGTTTTTTCTAGATAAAAGACATGAATAACTACCTGACGGTGCCTGCTGCTCCTCCTGACTCCCCGACAATGTGTAGAGCCAGACTGGCCTCAGGTAAACACATCCATCTTGACCACAGCCAAATGCAGACGCTCGATAGCTACCACTACTACTACTACCACCAATAGGAGAAAATTCAATCTGTTACTGATGGCACCCACAGGAATCAGACATTACGTTTTGTTCGGCTCACGAGGCAGCTTTCACAAAACATTGAACACTTTAGAAAGCACTGCTACTGTTCACAGCTGCAGCAATAGATATTTCCCCATTGATGGAAATATGTTTGCATGTGCCAGCCGGCATGTAAACCAGTGTGTGGTTTCGTTTTAGGCAAAGATACTGATTTCAAACCTGCTCAACAGCAGAAAGGCAACACAATCTGTCCAGGTATGTCCTGAGTGTAGAGAAGACTCATTTTGAGTTGTGATAACCCAGCAGCAATCCTAACATGCATGCGTCAATTATGTTGCTTGTTAACATTCATTAATTATTCATCACTAATGAGGGGGTCTCATGACATGATTAACAAGACCAAATTCAGATTTTAAGGAGCAAAGTCTTTGTTTACAGTCAAGCATGATATATGTTGGAATTTCAGCTTTCAGTTTTCCATAGTAAGTTTTTACTAAAAGTGTTATTATTCCAGCATGTGTCGCTTTATGGATCATTGTGACTTCCTTTGCATTATTTTTGTTGTGTTGTGAAATATCTGAAACGGTCTTGAAGCCTGCTGTCATCAAGTTTGTGCAATGATTGTACTTGTAGCTTTGTTTTCCTCAATATTTGTAGATCACATTCTCCTCCCTTTGTACATCGTATGTTCATGCATGCTGATGGAATGACTGAATGATATTTAATTCCTTTTTAAAGTTTATTACCTAATATTGTACCCTTGTCATGCCTGTAGACCCCCAAGCCTACAGCATGAAACCGGAGCCGGACAGCGTGCCAACCATCCAGGTGGACCTGGCTTCCCCTCAGTCTCCGGACTCTGTCAACCTGATGGATGAGTTCAGACGGGCCGAGCAGCAGCATGAGGAGGACCAAGGCCTGATGATGAAGCCTCCCTCTGGGGAGAGTGGACCTAAAAAGCCAGGCGAGGAGGACGGATCCAGAGAACATAAGCTGATGAGGTGCCTGAGCGACCCTGGTCCCAGCGCAGATGAGGACGAGGATGAACCCTTCCTGCCTTGATATGGTAGACCGGATGTGAAGGGGTCTGTCTGTGCGCCCACCTTCACTGGTTAGAGGAGAGGGGGCTGTCTCACTGCTCTGCTCTAAATAATGTATTTGGTTCAGAAACCAAACAAGCCAAAACTGCTAATGCTGTACAAACCAGAAAGAGAAAGCAAAAGGAGATTGAGAAGGAAAAAAAGAGCCAATTAGTTTGTCATTGTCATTGCTCTTTATTTTTTTAGACAGGATTGTAACAGCAGTTGCTGCTATCTAAGAGAGGATGGAGTTTATGGTCGATTAGTCTGAGACATTCAGGAAAGAACTATGCATTACCAAAGGTTTGGACTGTTGTAGTGTCAGACCGTGTCATTTTTACTTTAGTGTCGGACTGTTTTTCTTTCCTAATCATTGCATAGTTGTTAGTTTTATGTTTGTTCGTGATTTTATTAACTTTTCCTTCTTTTCAGATACATTCTTTGAGACATGCTGGACCTCTAGTCCTAAATGTAATCAACAAAGCAAACTTTCAAACATTGAGTTTAAGGCGTTTGATTTAAACTAGGGATGCTCAATATTGGCTTTTCTGCCGATATCCGATATTCCGCTATTGTCCAACTCTCAATTTCCGATACCGATATCACCCGATACCGATATATGCAGGCTTTTTACACCAAAACTGTTAGGTAACAACAAACTAGTAATAACACATTATGCCTAAGCATATGCAAGGAAGTAACAATGTCTTGAAAAGAACACTCATATTAATATGTAAAAAGGTTGCCCATGCTGCGTTCATGCAGGCTCGGAAATGCTGAAGCCTACAGAACAAACATCGGTTATACAAACCCGATACCGATAATTCCTGATATTACATTTTTTTGTGAATATCGGCCCGCCGATATTATCAGACATCCCTAATTTAGACCAATATTTCACTCAAACTGTTCTTTCATTCTGTCACTTGAAATAGCTGGATATTGAAACATTACAAGTGTAGCTAGTTTAAAATGTTTGGCCTTATTTTATGTCAAATCTTTTCACTTGGTGCCGTTTCATCTTTGTCTTTTATGAAAAATGTATTTTAATTTCAGGGGTACTAACATCTGTTTGCAATCAGAGTTTGTTCCAGCATTTGTGGGATGTAGATTAACAAGCTGGATGCATTTAGTCACTGTGTTAAAGAACCACCGTTCTTTATTGTTGTGCTTACAGACCTGCGGCCTTTTCCTAAGGCTGCGGAGGGAGTTATGTGAAATTCCTTGCTTTTGTAGAAAGAAGTGTTGACCTACAGAGTAAAAGCTCTGAGTTGGTGAAACTTGTGAGATAGACAGTGAAGCTGCACAGATGTTTTGATGTCAGTGATCATGCTTGATTCCCCATCCAATCCTTCTGAAGCTAAATCACATGTTGTTATGTCAGGTTCCTGTGTTGATGTTTTATGTTTTACCTCAATTTTAGAATCCCCTTTAAAACTCACTAAAGTAGGGGTCGAGTTGTTAGAGTAGATGTTACTCTCTCTATATATAAATATATATATCAATGTAGTGAACAAGTGCCCATCTTAACAGTCACCTTCAAACTCCTCACCACATGATCTGATTATTATTATATCAAAATAATCAATTCTCGCTTTCTTTTACATGCCCATTTGCATTCTGCAGTTGTTTTTTTTTTACTGGCCTTTACAAGAAGCAGTTGTGTCCTACATCAATGAGTGAAGGTTAGTTTGTACAGGAATCCATCCACACTTCCTTATTGAAATCTAAGACTGTAGGCATGTCATGGCAAAAAAAAAAAAAAAGTATTTCTATGCACTATAGATGTGTAAAATATGTAAATGATTATAATATCCTGTATTTATGAAAACCCTTTAAAACTGAAGACTTGTAATCCTGTAAACATGCAACATTATGAAACAAACCACTGCGAAAGTCAAAGCTAAAATCAAACACGGGCATTAAGATAAACACAAAAACAGTATGTTAATTTTTGCACATCTGAGCAAGACTGAAAACGTATCTGCAGGCACGAAAGCGTACTCCTTCTCCACTGTACTGTATATGGTTGTATAGTGTGTATGATAACCAGTGTAAAATACAATGCACATATTTTTTACACTGCTGCTCAGTGAATTGGAATCTGACATAAATCAATCAAGTTGCTATGATTTGCAGATTCATATGCATCTAAAAAACCCACCATGTTGTTAGTTTTCACAGAAAGTGCAGCAGCCAGTGATTGCATTGTAAAGCAACAAGTATTCTTTCACCCAAGTCTGTTTTCACTATAAGAGTGTAGTTTCTCAATACACGCCACCCAAAGAACTTAGTATGGAAAGTTAACTTTAGCACTGAAACACAGTCCTTCTCTGAAGTAGGCTGAGTGAGTCACTGTTCCAGTTTTCTGGCTATTTTAGAGCTGTTAGTGACCATTGAATCCCTCCTGATCCTCTTACACCCAGAAGGCTCACATTACAGCTGAAGGGAACAGGCAGCAGAACCTGACATGCTTGTTCTTTAACTCGTCTTCTCTTAAGTATCTAGCTCTCTATGGTTATTGTAGCGAGCGCAAGAGGATATATTGTCTGTGCACACATGCACTCACCTAAATCCGGGTCCATGTATGTGCAAATATATGTGCGTATTTGCACTGCGGTTGGGTGCGTTTGGTCCCCCTCTTTGCCCCCGACACTTTTCCTCCTTCCCAATGTCTAAAAGGATAATTACAGCGGAGAGGTCAAATCATAAAGCATCTCATTTTCCTGTCTCAACCAAATTGAATTTACTTTCTGAAATGTCGGCGTGTTTGATGGAGTGCCGGAGAGGAGAAGTGTGCTGAAAATGTCAACAAGGACGAGGTCAAAGATGGCTGTTTAAAAGCCAGAATTGACAAGCAAAATGACATGCGGCACTTCTCCCCATCCTCGAATGCTCCTTTTACCGTCGCTTAAAGGATATTTACAGTACATGCAGCATTGAATTTATGAGGTTCTAAAATGGTTTAGAAACTGCCGCCACAGAAGCCCTGAGAACAGTTTCTCTCCCTCTGTGAATGGCCTCCTAATGCTGCTGCTGGGAATGTTTCTATATCATCTTCCCCGATGCTCTATCCATTTAACGGCAGTCTGTTACTGTCCTTACCTTTTAACTTCCCTGCGGAGACTGATAAGTACGTTTCAGGAACGTTGCAGCAAGTAATGCATTTCTTAACATACTCCCACTTGTGAATACATGTAACTGTGCGAATGCAAAGCAGGGTATCTCACAGAGAGAATATGCATCACGCTCTGCACAGATGTTGTATTTTTCGTATCAAAATTGACACGAGTCACTGTAACTTAAACAGAGCGAAACACCACCTGTTTCATTTCAAACCTCCCTGATTGCTTCACATTATTCCAAAGAAAAGAAACACTATTTTCATACTTTTCCTTTTCATACCAAATGCATCTTTTTGGGCAAACATTCTCACACTGCTTGGCGGGAAATGTTTGTTGCAGTAAACCTTAATCTGAAGCCATACAGCCTATAGAAGAACCTACGTCGTTGTATTCGCATTAGTATAATGTCTGTACACATCATTTTTGCCTTTTGTTTTGCTCGACGCCCAAAGCAAACATGCCTTTACATTTAAATCGCTTGTGTCTTGCTGTTGTTAATTTAAGATCTCCACACTGGATGTTTTTTTTTTTTTCTACGGTGCTGAATTGTTTTAAGTCGTGGCAGTTTTCATTGAATGTGTTGGACTGAACTACAATGTCAACACTGTTGCCTCACCAGCATTCACCATCAGCTTTAAGGTTTTTCTTTTGCATCTGTTTGCTGTATAAAACTTGTGTGCTTTATTTGTTTAACTGCTTTATTGTACTGTACAAAGACTTTTTTGGGGGGCTTTACAGGGAAATCTCTTGCTTTTGTTGTCATTGTCTGGATTCATGTGCATTGCATCAAGCTTTACAGATGTTTTTAGGCCTTACTGTGGGTGCTTTTTCCATCTCATGTTTATAATTAGTACAGCTTATAAGCTTTATAGTGAAATCTAGTGCTCCTAACGTTGGATTGTTCCAGTGGGAAATGTAAGGTGAACACATCAGTTACAGTCAGCGGTGCATGCGGACAAGGCTCTTTACTTTAAGGCCACACTTGGGTTTTTGCATGTTTTAGATTTTTGTTTGAGTTGTTTTTCTCTGGTTTCCAGGCAACCATTAGTTTCCATTCATTCACTGGAGCGTAACAAATCTCGTAAAGACTTTGAACTTGCTTCAGATCATCACCATGAACATCAGATTGACTTTTAGGTCTGCTGCATTGCAGATTCATCAGATCAGCTTAAGTCAGCTTCTCTTTCAAGTCCATCTTACAACAATATTAACATGCATGTGTGGATATTGGAACAGTATTTGTTTCTCCTGTCCATACTGGATCTGTATACTGCATACTGACTGCATACTGGTCCATACAAGTCTTCACCTCTCCTGAGATTTCAGAACAAGACTTCTTCTTTAACCCAGACTTGGTTAGACACACATTGGATCAAGCAAAAGTTTAGAAAACGTTAATTTCTCTGTATGGTCGTGTTGTCGGACACTTACAATAACAATCTGAGACAGTTAGTGGCAAAAACAAACACTTTTAATTTGTAATTGCACATAAGGGATTACGTGGTAGCCCGTTTTGTAGCTGGACTCTGCAGTGATCTCACTCAATACTTGGTTGAGTTCAAACCCCATTATTCACTTTGACAGAAAACAATGGGAAAATAAGTTCCAGGTTGAAAAATACAGACATTCCCCTTTAAGAAGGACCAGTATGAACAGGAGGAACAATAACAGCAAAGTAAAAACGTTGAATGTGCACATGGGTATAACAATATTGTTTTAAGATATACTTTAAAACTGCAGCAAAAAAATGAAGTCAATTATGGAAATAAATGGTTGCCAGAAAATTAAGAAAAACAGATAGAAAATTCTAGACACTACAGTATGCTTTGAAAAACTGGCACTAATTTGGTTCCTACATGGTTTGTACTACATGGGCTAAAATATGCAAAAACAACTGGTATGTTCCTTTAAGTTCTGTAAGGTTTGACCAGCCGAGCAGTGCAAGGCTTACGGTTACATTGTGGATAAACATACTGTCCAA